TTTAAAAAACTTCAACAATATAAAGATTTGTCAGAAGCTAAGGGTAACTTACTGTGACACTCAGTCCAAAAATATTGTAAAGAAATAATTAGCCATATTGAAAAGAGACTAGCAAAATTATTTACATCAGTAATATATGCAGGTGTGATGTTCAAGGAAAACTTAATGGTATATGCTGAACTGAAAATTCTAAGGTATATAGTATGAGGTATCCACATGAGCATAAAAATTAACATTAATTAAATAACACATAGAATATTGTGTGAAATTATTATAATTGAATGGGCTTATACAACGATACTTGAATAGGAAGTCCTTGAATGTGAAAAATAACAATTAAGCCACCTAATTCGTGATGTATAAAATAAGAGGTTTGGAATACACAAGAATTAATTAAAGTAATTCCTTCCGAAATTTATTAAGAAGAATTATCTGTATACTATCTGTCTAATAAAAATGAATGAAAATAAAAATGTGATCAATGCTCAACAGGATAGAAACGAGGAATTTTATCAGTATATATAAAGCCATTATTGTAAAATAAGAAATATTTATGATTAAGTAATTTGAAGATTACATAACTTAAAATAACTGCTCAATTACCATATCAAAAAATGTCCGAATTACATTTAACTGGCAAACAAGAAATTAAAGAATCAAATGAGATTAAAAGTCTAACTCAGATTATCTACAAATATGATGACTGTATTGCTGCTCTCAGAAAGAACACCTGAATACGTTATTTTTCTCTTTTTCGATTTTATTTTTTTCTTCTATATATATATATATATCCATTGGTACCTTCGTTCTTTCTTAACTGGTTATCGCCAACCAATATAACTGTTTTTTAAAACATGTGAAAATTAAAGGGTTATTTATAGTTAATACTAATTTATTTAAATTTAAGATATTCAAGTACAGTAGATCCTTGGAGTAAGTAAATTAAGAGAAAAATTTTATTAAAATGTATATTAGTAGAATCTTAGTTCTCCTCATAATCTACCTTCATGTTTTAACACTTGAATAGTAGTATCATCAATGCAATCCTTCAAAGTTCTAAATTGGAATCCTAATAATTCCCTAGTTTTCTTATTTTCAACAACGGCACCTTGAGGATGATTTTCAACCGCCTTATCAGGACTACCAACTGGAATCATACCTTTTAATTGAGGGAAATCGGCATTCAAGTAATTCAAAATGTCTTGGGCAGCAAATGTAGCTGAAGTGACAAGTAAACGTTCATCAGCTAAATTTTCTTCTTCAATTGCCAGAACATGACTCTTAGCAACGTCATGAATATGACAACATAGAGCATTTATGGGAGAAATGTCTTCCAATTTGGTAGCATGGATGATCTGGTTAACAGTCTCGTTAGAAGTATTCAAATGCTCGTGAACATCCTCGTCGAATAGTTGAGGTCCGAAGATATAAGATGGAATTACAGTTGAAAGCTTGAATCTGACAATATCTTTGTTTTCCTTATAAAATTTCCACGCTTCTTGTTCAGCAAATTTTTTAGAGCCAGCATATGCTGATATTGGGTCTGTTTGGCAACTTTCCCAGGTAGTTGGGTTCCAGGAATCTTCGTTGAAAGTCACAGAACTATCTTGCATCTTTGAAAAATCAATAAGTGCCATAACACTAGATGTCATAACAAAACGCTCTACAGAATCAGCAGCATATTTCTTAATAGATTCTAAAATACCTAAAACACCGTTACGTGCTGGAATCAAAATATCCTTTTCGTAACTATCAATATCCCATTTGGCAGGAGACGCACAATGAATTACAAATTTAATATCCTTACCGTGGACCTTGAAGGTCTCTTCGAAGGCATCTAAATTTTCAAGATCACCGATAGCGACAGTTGTTAGTCTTGGATTGTTGAATTGTTTTATCAAAGCATCACCTTTATCTTGAGTTCTCACAGCAGCAATAACAGAATAATTTTTCTCTAAACATTCATTAACAACATGTTTTCCTAAAAACCCAGTAGCCCCAGTAACAAATACAGACATTTTATATATTTATTCGTTGTTTGATTCTTGAAAATTTATTTATTGTTCTCTTTTCACAAATATTTAAGGGAATACCAGAAATTTACGAAAAAAACTTATAACTGTTATCTTTCTATCTACTTATATATGTATCTACTTATTTTTTCCCTAATTTCCAAAATTTTTAAGAAGAGAAATTGATAATAGCAGATTGATAGCGATTCCTTATTACGTAAGCTACGTTTAATTATTCGTGAACGATTGTTAAGTGGCAAAAGGATCTTTAAATTAGTTGGTGTTGTCATTTGTTCGGCTCCCGTTAAAGGGAAGGCTGTGGTAGAGAGTATTCGGTTCTCCGCGGACCGGATTAGTAAGGAAAATAATAATGTTTTTACTTGTACGCCTTTAATACTGTACAACAGCAATAGGAAGGGAAATTATTGTTGTTGTTGTTTGGGTTAGTTAAAAGAGAATAAGATCAGCTGAAAATGTTGGTGATTACAAATCATTGTGATATTTAAGAAACTATTTTCCCCTACTTAAGCTTATTCAAGACGTGTCATGTTTGTAATCGAGTTGCCAGATATTCAGTAAAAACTATTTTTTGTATAATACTATTTTCGGTCGAAGTTCCATATTAAATTAAGTGATAGTTTAAAAACTCCGAGCTTCACGTGATTTGGATTACAGATTAATGATGGATTCGGCTGTAAAACCATGGGTAGATCTTATAAATTGCCTTCCTTGGTTAGTTGATCAATTTTAAAATAATTCGGAATTAATTTTTATTTATTTAGTTTTTCAGGAGAGAGCATATCATCACATTTCATCTCTGTAATAACAAACAACAATTCCCAAATTAACATTACTAGAAAAAAAGACCACATATGGAAGAAAAATCATGAACATTCCAATGTTGTCTTACTCAACAAAAAAATACAACAACAAAAAAGTATTCAATAATTCAAAATGAAATGTCTTTGCCTACTACTATGATCGCCGTTCTTATTGGAGGTAAAGAAGCTGTCACCGAGAATAATATCATGTTACTAGAGTATCCAAGCAATTTTATATTGGAGAAATCCAAGGCAATGGGAGGTAATCCAACCGATTGGAAACATGTTGAATACAGTGTTGGTCCACACAAATCAATTGTTGGATGTGATGTCTCTGGTGAGATAGTTTCCATGGGACAACATGTTGACACTACAGAATTTCATATAGGTGATTATGATTTTAGTTTCGCACATGGTACTTGTTTAAGAAAACCGGATAATGGTACATTTGCAGACTACGTAGCATTAGATTCTGAACTAACTTTCAAATTACCGAAAAATACAGAATTCAGTAATAACGATGTAATTTCTGAGGGGAAAGTCATTTCTTTTGAGGAAGCAGCTTCAATTCCGTTATCCTGGTTTACTGCTGGTGGAGCATTATTTCACGAAATGAAATTAAAATACGATTGTGACGCCAAAAAACCTCAAAATAAATTTCCATTATTTGTCTGGGGTGGTGGTTCAGCATTGGGGCAGGCAGTTATTCAACTCGCTAAAAAATATCATGGTTATACAAAAATTATTTCAGTAGCTGGTAGAAAGCATGAGAAACAACTTTTTGCATATGGTGCAGATGAAGTTTTTGGTTACCATGAATCCGATGTAATCACACAAAATAAAAACAAATATAATAACACCCAACAACTATTTTATTGTGTTTCAACTTTGGATACTTTATAATAAGTCGATCAATGTACACCAGATTCATTATACACAATTGTGGTAAATTTCACTAGTTAGTTTATTAATGATATTAAACAAGAGTTGAGAAGAGCAAATGTTAATGTCACAAGAACAGTGGCGTACTTGTCTCTTGGTTACTATGTGTTTATGGCAGGAAATAAAATCCCAGCTGGTCCACAATATAAGAGTGACATGGCTCAAGTTACTACTGAAATTAACTCAAAATTTTTGAACGATGAATTCCATCACCCATCAATTGTTGTCCACAAGAACGGCTTGTAACATGCGACTGAATTGACCCAGGATATTCAAAATGGGGTTAACGAGGGTAGGAAGCTGGTTGCTACCTTCCGCTAAAAACTTAATATATAAATATTGTTCATTAGCAAAGTATATTTATATATATGTATATATAGTGAGTTAAAGTTCTGCAAATTATACCAGAGAATGCAAAAGTTATTTGGTTATCTATTAAGAAGTTCTAATTGAGGTATATCACTATGAGACTTCTTATATTGTAGCCTCTTTTTGTTCTTCATTTGTGAATATATTTAGTACATATTGCAGAAAATTATCAGTTCAATTCGATGATAAAAAGTGTGTGCACTGCATTTATGTTTGTTTTCCAATCTTCAAATATAGAAGCTTCATGAATATATAATTTATGATACTGTACTGACCTTGGCATTAAAACTTTAAACATATTTTAATGTTAAAAATTGGTCCCTTATCTTAAATACCAGGATACTGCCTGACTTCGTGTGGATAGTAACCTTTCTAAACAATCTTATAGCTTAAAAAAAACCTAAAGAGCCAATAACTTTAGTGGTGTGGGTTTTTTGACGGATTGGGAATTTTACAGAGCGTTATGATAACTTTTTTTCGGAAATGGAGGTGTGCTCATTTTAGGAACCTTCCCCCCCCCTTACCACCAGGCCAAATCAGGAAATTTTTTTTATTGTGCTGGTTTTTCAGAAGACAAAAGAGGAAATAGGTTCGTCTTTCTAATCTTACCAAAGTTAGAAGAAATAGCCATACAACAATAAAAGAAAAACAATTCTGTGCGCGTGGTATTGTTTGAATCTGATACTTAATCCTATTCTTTACCGAAAACCCCTAGTGAACAACTGATAGAGCCCAATTAAGATTTCACTTGAGTTTTCATATTGTTCGGAAAACTACATCAGTCGCAACGAAGATCCCGTGGAGTAACCAGCTGAATCTTTTTTCTGCACATCGTAATTTCTAAGATTCAAAGTCACTGGTCTAAGAAAGTACTATAGGAGATGTTCCGAAATGGAGGGAGATGCTGGTTGGGTTTAAATTCTTCACGCTTACTGAAGATGCAGTGTTTATCTGCAGCAATATCTTCCCTTGGAAATTTTTATTTGTAACTTAACTTTAGAAACAACTAGTTTTAAAGCGAGAACTGAAGAATAACGAGGTTCCTTGGAGGCTGTAACACAGAGGGAGCTGTGCAATTTGCTGGGATTCATGCCGTAAATAAGTTAAGCTAAGAATGAGAGAGTTGAAAAAATTTTATATATAAGATAGTATCTGCCAGGCGTATCAACTCTTATATTGGGATCTGTCTCAAATTATCGTAAAACATAAATATAACAAAATAACAGAGACAATATGCTCTTCACATCTAACACATTTCTACTACTGTTAACTTTGGTGAATGTGGTACTAGCTCAGACCATCACATCCGACACAATCTGGTCTGGAGGGGGAGGGGATTCTTCCTCCTTTGAAATTGATTTTAATGCCACACTCCATGTCACGCCAGGGGTGTATTTAGGTATATCTTGTTTTGATGAAATTGGATTGGTAGACTTGGGCGCAAACGTTACCATCGAAGGCTCTCTGTATATCGATAGCAGTAATTCGATGTATTTTTACTATGTTGGGATCGATCACAATAGTAAATTGACAGCCCCGGTTACAATAAACAATACAGGTGTGATCGTTATGGAGGACCCTACTAGGTATTCGGGCGTTGGTATGGTTTTTTATGGTGACTCATCACTGATTAATACAGGGAAAATATTCATTAAGGAACAGTATGGCTGGGGGCAACCATGGTCCCTTGGTGGATTTACCAATAAGGGATTAATAGTCTTTGACAATATTGGTGGGAGAAGTAACGACCCGTTGAGCCTGCCATCAACAGACGATTTTGATAACCCCAACGTACTTATTGCGTCATCGACAAGTCCTGAATCCGGAATTAATGACGGTACATTATATGTTACTAATTCAGTTCTGGAATGGGATTATATATATGGTTCTGGTTGTATTATGCTTGGTTCTGGTGGAATTATTAAAATTTCAATGAGCTCTTCATCGGATTCACTTTTTCACAACCAAACTGTTTATCTGGAGGACGATTCTTCTGCATTTGTATTGTATTATGCAAATGATGAAGCCTCCTTTCCTCCACTTACTGTTGCCGGATTTGGTAGCGGAGAATATTTGGGTTGCGGATCTATCATAAGTAATTATTCATATGACGATACTACAGGTATCTTAAGCGTTACAGCAGGTTCCTATGAATCAGATTCTACTGGTGGCGTAAATACGGGGTTCAATATTGGACCGGGGTATGATTCAGCTCTATTTAGCATCTTTCAACAAAATTTTACTGAAAATAGCCCAACTGGTGAAGAGATGGTGTTTGATTGGATACAATATGACGGTGCTCCTCCAAATCCGTCAAGACCATTAGTATGTGCAGCTTATGAGGAACCTCCGATGTTACCTTATGATTCTACTCCATACTGTGCACAAGGAGTAACAACAACAGTAACACTTGTTTCGTCATCTTCTTCGGCGTTTTCATCCTTGGGCTCTTCATCTCCTGAATCTTCATCAGGGAGTGAAATCGTGCCTTCTGGACAGACCAGCTACTCACCTTCCTCCTCAGAGTGGCCATCAACTTCCTCCTCAGAGTGGCCATCAACTTCTTCCATTTCAGACTCCTCTGGAATACTGTCACCTTCTGTTAGCACTTACTCAGTTACTGATTCTTCAAGAACCAGTACATTTCTGTCCTCTGTTTTTGAGAGCTCTACCATAAACAGTACGTCATCCCTGGAGTTTACATCAGAGAGCAACCTTGAATCGCTAAGCTATACGTCGTCTACGACAATTTCTTCCCTAGAGACTTCATTTGTTTCCAGTAGTGCCGAGGCAGATTCTAGAAGTATATCATCTGAGTACACTAAATCTGTTTCCAGTAGCAACACCTCAGTTTCGACCCTCAGTGTAACAACCTCAGGAAGCAATATTGATTCCGTTAGCACTGCCCATACATTGGGTACAGATTCTGTGACGACATCTACCAATAGTATCCGAACAACAAGTTACACAACTGGCTCTTACACTTCTGAGTATGGCATCACCAGTTCATTGGTTCCAAAAACAATGGTGGAAGAAAGTGATTTACATTCAATTACTACTCAAAACGGAGAGAAACGCTCTAAAAACGATTTTTCAACCAGTACAAAATTTAAAACTGAGTATAAGACGTCTACTATCGTAGTATGTGAATATACAATAATGAGTACCAATGACAGGACCAGTGGTATTACAGTCATTACTAAGACATTCGATATTTCCAGTATCCCGACAGGTCTATATGGTAGCTCCTCCACTTCTACTGTTACTGTGACGACAGTAAGTAAAATTATAGAGTACCCCTCACTAGTGGTTGATTCCGATGGGGATATTTTTACATCTGTTGTGACTGCAACAGGAGTATCTGTTAACCATGATGGTAGCGTTTCAACTGACAATACTGATATGAGCACTCAAGGTAGTGTTACCGATGTATCTAGTAGCATTGTAGGAATTTCAAGCCAGGCATTTACTATGTATGGTGTTTCGAGCGACAATGGCGCTGCTTTGAGGCATACAACAGAACTAGGGTTCTTTGGAATGATTTACGTCATACTTTTTGTTTAAAGTCAATGTTATTTCATTTTTCACCTATTCTTCCAGGTTTACACCCATAATGGTCAGTCCCTAATTCATGAAATATCCAAGCTTCGCTCACATTTTTTTGATGCCTGTGTTACTTCCCGTCATGGATCTGAGCCAGTCGTTGTACTCCTTTCTGAAATACATATGTAGGCCTTTTAGGTGATATATTTTCAGGTTTGTTATTTAGAGCATGAGATTTGTTGGAACATAGAAAAGGCTGTTTTTAGCGGTAAATGATACACCTCTTCAAAATCGAAAATAAGACGAACTATAGAATAGACAAGTAACGGAAGAAATAGAAAGTAGACTGTAATAACAAGATTACAGAGAGATGAACAAAGATACATGTGAGGTAATACTATGAATAACGTACGTACCTACCGGCGATAAAATGTCACAACAAAAACACTCTAGGTTGTACTAAGTCTACCTTAGTGTACAATGTAAAGAATCAAGGCAAACTATGAAGGAAGAGGAATATCCTGAACTTTACTATGGTGAAGCTCAGATAACATTATGAGTAATTAAATAAACATAAACTGTCGAGGGTAGGTGGAAGCACAATGTAAGAGAGTTTCCAAGGGACCATTTGTCTTCAACCTAAATCACAGTTATAGAAAGCAGACATTTTGGAACAAAATGAGAATAATAATTTCGTTCCCTTTAAAATATTTATATTACCAATGTATGTATTTCATATATAGAAAACGACGGATAACGTTATATAAATTACATATATAAATAATGAAATGTCGTCTCCTAGCAGCCAATATCTTCACAAAGCTAAGGTCAAAAATAATTATTGGTTCTTCGGTTTTGAGTTTATCTCAAGAATCTCGCGAAGCTGAATATGATACAAATAAAAAATTAATGTGATTTAGTTTCTGAATGCTGAATACTAATTTTTGAATGTTTTTACTACATTCAACAAAAATACAATCAATCGAAAGATAGAGAAAAGTTAATCGACTAATGTTTTCTTTTTGATATTTTCTCGCTATGTTAGCGACATTATCTGTTGTTATAACTTATTTTAATTATGTAAAAGTAATTACAAGGAGTAAAAATTACTTTAAAGTCCAACTCCCCTATGTTGAATATTGGATTGGAACTGCAATCAAGATGTGTTTTGTTTCTTTTGGCCAACGACTTGTTATGTTTCTTTGGTAATTGCTGCTTTGTCAGTTATTAGTTCTGAAATTTCTTTGGCAGGGTCTGATTCAAATCAAAATCTCTGGAGTTATGACGTTTGAAATTCGTTTCACATAAATATTGAAAAGTATATTATTTCGTCGTGCTCTGACTTATGTGAAAGAAAATGGGACGTTCAATGGTATATGAGAGTATGGAAATGTTGAAAAAAATTACATTTTGGACAAATTAAATGTATCGAGATGAGATATTTTACATCCAAATCGGCCAAACATATATGTAATTTAATGATCGTTGCTACTTTGCGACCGACCTGGAAACCCAAGAAATGATGTTAATGATAATATGTATCTCCATGTCATTTCATATTCAATTAACTATCAAGGATATAGCTACGGCAGAATGACAGTTGATATTGAGTAATTTAGCTCACATTAATATGCCCATAGTAATGACAGATAAGAAACGACGCACGATGGTGGTATAGAACTTCTGAGAAGATTCCTCTTCTAAAAAATAAGAGGTTTTTTCTTTAGTGCTATTATAACAGAAAACAAATAATATGGATAGATCTATAAAGTAAGACTGAACATATAATTGTCTTAGTAGTCAGCTCTCTGCAAGAGCTTAAGATAATCACCTAAAATAAATAGTACTCTCTAATCCTTATTGCAGGAAAAATACATCAACCATGAGAATAGCTTATTACATTTTCCTTGCACTTTCAGTTCTCATAGCATATATAGTCTCTGCGTGAAACATGGGATGACAAAACTGGACTGCAGTGGCCTATGGAGGTGCAGCAATATTATTTCTTTATGAATACAAACACTTGATGCAGCGCAAGGAAACATTTTGTCCTTTTTACAAAGTATTGCAAGCAATTAGAAGGGATTTTTTCTCACATGGTGATGTGTTGCCGTAGCAAACAAGGATAGTGTGCGGAGATCGATGTGTGATAATAGCTATCACTGCGGGTCTGACTGCATTTTGTGTTGGTGGTGCCTTCTATTTAGGTGGCGGTACCCTTCTTAGAATAATTAGTGTCTTTCTAACACAAGATTCGGCAACAGATAAAACTGTAACAGAAATTTCGACTACAAAACGAGATACCTAATACATATGGGACTATGTATATCAGTTTTTTTTTGCATAAATGTGATATGTTTCGAATAAATCCGACAGAACAAAATGTAGTTCGGCTAGATATATGATAGGATTTTATTTTCAAGGAGCTTGTTACCCCTTGCCAAAGCAGTGAACAATATCATTAATGAGAGCCACACTACTATACCAACTAACCTCTCGTAGCAAACAAGAGCGATAGACGACATCCAGTGTCTTATATATCAGATTGGAGTGGGTGACTGTGTTATCGATGACTGTCATTATGTTTGTTCTGCTAAACAGATGAGAATTGTTAGGGTTAAATGTTAATTCTTGATGACAGGGTATATTGGGAATATTGGTCAAGATAGATTTAAATTTCAGATGAAGTTCCATGTCTCCATGACTGACCAAATCAATAGGAATGAAGCAAACAATTTTTTTTTGATGATATATACTCAAGTGTTTTCGGTGGTATTGAAATTAACTGTACCTTATGAAATTCTTAAATATCAATTATTATAGAAGTTCGAATATATTGTTGATGATAAATACATGTATTAAAGCACAAGAAAATAGCAGAGTAATTTTGTCACAAGCAGAATACACTTTACATGGTGTTGACTGGCGTTAAACTTGGTGTATGTATCAACCTTACTAGAAGCTATCCATCTTGAGGAGCTCTTTGAAATTATATATGAACATGCTCCCATATGCTGTGATTAACCCTTACTAAATATTGTGTTGCCGCATTCTACTATGTGAACATCAGAGCGGGAATCGATTCTGTAATCTCGTATAGTACTAAGATTCAAAGAGTTCAAAATATATGCCTGAAGATTTGTGATAATCGGTTCAATTTGGTTCTCAAGATAAAACCGTCCTTTGTGTGAGCCTATTGTGTATCCTAGTCGATTGATAACGTAATCTTTTTTTCGAGGTTGTAATCTTCGTTTCTCGGAGACTACAAATAACGCTGAAAATGAAGCCCACACTTTTTTTTCATATACAGTCAGAGTTGAACTCCTTTCCTGCGTGTTTATTTACCGACTGCTTATTTTGGTAACCTCGGAAGAATTACCTGAAAAGTTGCTTACTTACTGTTTGTCTGAAGAATGCACTTATATTAGAAGTCATCGTAAAGCTGTGAAAATGGCAGCATGAGTTATTTCTCAAGAAGAGAGAGAAACAAAAACTGAAATGGCTCCCTAATTTTTGGAGAAATTTTTTAAAACTTTCATTTATTTATAAGTTATACTTATTAGACTGTTTTTGCAACATAATTTTAATGCGAATAGTATTGGATATCACTAGAGTAAGTAAAGAATGCAGAACATAAAAGTATAAAATTTAGTTAGTTTGCTTCTTACATAGTTGTTTTTCTGTTTTTCTTTTTTCTTTTTTAATAATGGAACCAGATATCAATCTCATTATATTGGGTGTACAACTTGCCTATATGGCATTATTCCTTTTGCTATTGTTCATTACATTTAGGTCAAGAGGTCGTGGTTTAAAGGAGACATGCGGTGCCTTATTAATTTATGGATTTACCATAAGTATGGCCGAATTTGCAGGTTACTTGGTTGCAACAATTCTTAACTCTACCTATGCAGTTGAACATGCTTTTTTTGATATACTAACAAAGAATGAACCTGTTGTATACCTTTTAACTGTGTTTTCAACACAATATGGGTTAACTTCTCTATTTTTAAGGAGGTTTTCTTCACTTCTTAGATTTCCAAAGGTACCAGATAATACCAAAATATCTTTAGAAGAAGAGAAGGTTCCATTGCCTGTATAAATGTGTCTAACCCCTACTAGAGGTATATAATTTCTATCTAATGAATTTATCGTTTCGTATATTAAAAACTATTACAAATACGTAATTTTAGTCAGTTTCGTGTTCAAATTATGCAACTATATAATTATTTTCCCAATAATCTTTCTAAAGGTTTTATGTTACAGGCATTTAAATTGAGAATTGCAACGAGTAGAATTATATACTGATTGTTTTGGAAAAAAAATAAAATTCATCTCTTATTTTTTTCCCTGTGCTTTATAACTGTTGTACGATTTAAAATATTTAGCCATTACCTAACATCAACATAATATTGGTTTGTAGTGTTAGAGGGTAATAACTGGATGAATAATCCCTCCTGTCGAATTCCTATTATTCCTAACAGTTACGTATGTGATCACCGATTTTATCACAGCACTGACAGATTAAAAAGTAAAACAGGGTGGTGATATTCATGTAGTCTTCAATGTTCAAGTCGGATATAAGCATCAATACTTGCGGGACAGAGTAGTTGTTCTCAGTATCATACAAACATTGCAGCTATTAAGTGAATGTATATACATAAGTGGTACCTATTATAGAAACATAGACAAGCAGTTCGAAACCCTTAGACGGAGAATAATATAGTATAAATTATTTAAATATTATAATATATGTATTGAAATGGGTGGAACGTCTGGATATTTATTTTTCTAGTTTCTGTTGTTCCTTATCATATTTGTCAAAGGAAATTGCATCTTCTAATCTCCTATTCCTTAAGAATATTGAAGCAATTAACATAGGAACTAAAAGGCACAATGCGACAATATTCAATATCTTTTCTACATACTTATAGGCTTGTACAACGCCTTGTCTTTCTGTTGTTTCCCAAGTATATTGCTTTATAAATTTAGTTGGCGAACTATAAGCATATGCTGCTAAAGTAGAATTGGTTGTAATACGTTTGTTAATCTCTCCAGGTAGAATATTGGACCATATAGAACCAGCCACCGCTGAACCGAATGCACTACCAATACTGGCTACACTTAAAAACAACGATGTTGCAACACCCATCATTTCATGAGTATAAGCAGAAGCTTGGATGGATGCTCTGACAGGGAACTTGATAAACCCATTACCAAAACCAAGAACACAGATTGCTGCAATGATACCAACTCTAGCTTCAAGGCCACCTGTATATTTTTCAAGTAAGCCAAAGCCGATGAACCAAACACCGATACCAAAAACAATAATTTCTTTTGTTCTTCTTATCTTCGCAACGACGAAACCAAAGATGAAAGCAGTTAAAACACCAACAAATGAGAATAATTTGTTTATTCTGGCAGTAGCTGCCTTTGTTTGGTTAACAGCAACATAAAGCACAGTAATCATATAAGTACTTTGCATGTAATAAGCAAATTCTTGGAATAAAGAAATCACCAATGGAGCCCAAATGCCTCTATCTTTGACAACATTCCATGGAGTAATAGGATACCTTGAAAATTTAAGTTCCCAAATGGCGTATAGTGGGATAGCAAGAACCCAGCCTAATACTTCTGGTACGATAATTGAAGCACTCTTCCATTTTTCATTTACACCACCTGCTAACGTAAATGGGATAAGAATCATACCAAAAATGGCAACTAATAGTACAAGGCCAACAATATCTAATTTCCAGAAGAAAATGTCAATACAAAATTCAGACCAACTCATATTTTTTGGTTTTCTAAAAGCGATCCAGATATCTTCGTTATTCTTTTTGGCTAAATATTTCATGTGCATTATACAAATCAACAGCGGAATACATGATAATGGAAAGATGAAAGCCCACATACCAATACCCCATGACCATCTTTCATCAATGGAGCCTGTAATGTTACCACTAATCCACGTAGTTATGACATTAGGTAGAACTTGAGCTGCAGCAGCAGTTACTCTCCAATTTAGATTTGAAAAATCAGCAACATACAATTCAGAAACCATAACTATACCAGAATGTCCGATGGCGAAGATGATAGCACCTGCAGCATACCTTGACACGTCGTATGCCTGAGATTCGATAATTGTACCTACGACGTATAGTACAATAGAGATAAGAAGAATTGTGGTTCTACCAAACATATCAGCAGATCTTGCAAACCAAATTTGTGCAGCAGCGGACACAACTTTTTTAATACATGTAACCGTTGATAATAACGAATGTTGTGAATATGAAGAGGTTGCTAATGTTTGATAAGTTGATCTTACCGAATTATCTAAACCATAGGCAAATGCAATTAAAAATAATGAGAAGAATATGAGCACTCTTTTAAATGGATGGGAGTAATACTTGCAATAAATTTCAGCATTATGTACACCAGCTTTCTCAAGCGCTGGTGTTTCGTTTTCACTAGAATCAAATCCACTGTGGATAGAATTTGAATACGTGGATACACTTCCCTTAGATTCAATTTTCTCGTTAGAAATTGGGGACTGATCATTAGACTGAGCAGACACAATTTCAGAGTTTCCTTTCGCTTCCATTGTTGGCTTAACTTCTGGTCTTTTTTACCCAATTCCAAATAAGCGAATTGAAAATAGAAGATACGATGGATGTGTTTTCAAAACAGATAAACTCAGAGTTTATATATGAATGTAAAATATGAACATCTTTTCAAGAAAACAATTCATCTCATCTCATCTCCTGTTCTAGTTATTTTGAACATCTAGTTTTTCGGTCATTCCACATTGAATTTTGATATCTGTTACGATGTTTTCTAAACATCTCAAAAGTAAAATTGCACTACATTGTTCACCAAAACCATGGCTTCTATCATAGAATCGTTTTCTTTCCTTTTTTTCACCTTTTCTTGACTATTTATTGCCGGTCAGGTAAAAAACTATCCAACAACAACAAAAATGAGAAGGGGCTGTAACCTTGTCCACGCATTTTCTTATCTCATTTCTTATGTCTTACTTAAACTGTGGTTGTAGCCTCTGGTACTGTACCTGCAAATTGGTCTGAAATTGTTGGTTATTGGTCTCTCAAGAGACCCTTTTAAAAAAACCTAGTGAGGTGTATTTCAGCTATTGCACCCAGTTTTTTATTTAAATATTTATTGTTGCCCTTGCAACGGATGGCATCTCTTGGCTTTTTTTTTTCACTTTGTTTGACCGGAGTCGCTTGCGCTGCGCTCTCTTCTGCAAGAGTAGGTAAGAGGCTTTAATTTTCTACTGAGAGTTCTCACTTCAGAAGGTCTAAGGTGTCTGCTTTGACACAGTGGATCTCTTACAGGAACAAACAGCAAAGACGGCAACAGAAAAAGAAAAGAGATCTTAAAGCAAACAGTGAGCGTATAAGCACTTCCTACTTTTTGTATCCATCGTTTAGATGGTAAATTCGAGCCGTTAGGTATCTATCGTTGTTATTAAAGGGGAGTAGATGCCGGGGTGTATTGCTTGGCAAAAAGAAAAATATTAGCCATGTTTAGTTGCATATTACTTCTTAATTTTATATGAAGCTCTCTTAAGGATCGTACAAGAGAGCCTCTTACAGAATTTCGCCGTTTTTACCTTTCTTGTTTTGCCAGAGCTGCTTAAAAGGAGGCTGGCATAATCAACACGTCAGTTTTCCACATTTCTTTTTTGTGCCCTTTCTTGAAATTTTCTTGGCATTAATTGTTGAAGTTATTCCAAGATGTTAACCTCGTTACTAAGCCTACATTAAAAATGAATTAAATTTTTTTGGAATCTATTGAGTGCACATAAAAGAAGAAAAATACCTGAGTGGAATATACATGTAATATGCGTTTTTTCTGCACGTATATTCAGGGTAATAACGATTTTACAGTACACAAATAAAAAATAACATGCAAAGTGTACTAGAAGATCCCTAGTTGTGTTATTCTAAATGGGACAACCAGTAAATTCTAAAAAAGACGAATAGTATGGACGTAGCAATACTAACACCGTTTGTTGAACTACCATTTGAATTGATTCTTAAAATTTAGTATGATTATTAGCTCCGTATATTATATTATAGTTGAAATTTGATTTTCTATATGTTACTAACTTCAACTGACATAACGTTTGAGGTGATGAATAAGTAGGTGCGGCTTGAAGTGTTATTACACGATAAATAGATGGCAGTCACTCTATGATGGTGAATTGGCATTGGTGAATTAGACCACATAGTTAGTCTCTGGAGTTATATTTGTTTTGATTTTCTCACCACTAAAAGAAGAACAATGACTGATAGATTCGATGCAGTGACTTTATTAGCTGACAAGATTTTTGTCCAAAATTTTATAATGGCATTTTAATTGGATTATCATTGTAATATATTACTGTGGAATTTAAAGAAAATCCATATGTTGACTTTGAAATCGATGTTATTTCGGTTCAAATTACTAATATTACCTTGATAGTAATGATTGGATGAGACAATTTAATAATGGGAATCTCCAATGAACATTTAACTGATAATCCAACTAATGATAGAATTACGGATCTGATCTGGGTTGTGAATAAATATGTGGCCGACGCATAATGGAAGAAGTAAAAAAAGAAATGATTTGTTTGTTGAAACGGATTATCTTTCTGTGATACAGTATCCCATCTTCTTTCTCAACCTTTATTGTTGGGGAATTTAATGATCGTATATTTTCTAAGTACGCTTATTCACGAATGGGTTATTTTTGTCACCGCATAGTGATATTTGTGTCATTCTCAAATTCTTTTACTCGAAATGTGTAAAATTTTGATTCATTTCGAAACGAACAGCCTCGATATTCAACCACAAATTTATATATTGCCATATCGAATTCAATTAGTTGACACAGTATTGCACATTTCTGATCTGAACTTTATAAAAATGCCTTCATCCGCCGCCATCTTCGACCATGGATACTGCGTCGGAAGTTTGGTAACGTCTGAAATATATCAAAAATCAATAAAACCAGAGTTAGACTACTGTGTTCAAAATTAAAACATAAAAGTCATTATCAAAAAATTCAAAAAAAGAAATCCAACAATAGAAATAGGCAGCAAACTGAAGACTTCTTATCAATAAAAAAATACGAACACGAAAATTTTCGAATTAAGATGAAGTACACTTTTGAACACAGGGATATCTCGAAGATAAGTTTTGTCACCTTATTCACTAATATGGGCTTAGTAAGCCCTATATGTTTCTAAATTACATTCAATTTTCTTAAAATATAATGATAGAATTAAATTCGTCTTTATACCAATATAATAAATAAAAAGTGCTATTATTCCACCCATTATCCACGATCCGGGGTAAAATTGGATTGGAATTAAGACATTACGGAAGTATTTCTGTATGCTGTAATTATCGTTCTTTTTGACAATAATTACTGATATATTTTAATAATGGCACACATACAAAAGAGAGCTATCCGTTAAGAAACCATCATAATAGTAAAATTTCAGTATGGATATAAGATTCAAAAGAAATTTTCACAGAATAATATAGAGGAACTTTGAAGGTCTTTTGGAGTTTTTTACGTTGGTCTGTTTACTGGTCTTGGTGGGTGAAAATCTCTCCGTAAGTCTACTGTGATATTCGTTGGAATCTACAAGTTGGTCAAATCTTCTCCAATTAGAAATATGTTACAAAAAGAAAAGAAATTCCTCTGCGAGCCACCCTTAAGCTAAATGACAACCTACAATAATGTTCGCAAGTTGCTTGTGTGTGAATAGTTGGCCTCTGAGAAGAGAAGATTCCAGCAACTTAGATTCATATTCAGTTCTCATAACAAATAAGTAATGACAAATTATAAAAAAATGTTTGGAAGTGAATTAAGTCGAGAGAAGAGACTATTTCAGACGAAGATATTTTTGTGAAATAATTTCACTAACATATATTATTTCTTATTAACTCCAGGCGATTGTTTATCGTGTCCTACTAGGAGTTCACTTTTGTATTAAACTTCAGAACTTGAAAATTTCACATTCTTTCCTTTTGTGAAATTAGCGTACAAACTTGGATTTTTGTTTGTATCTGAATGCGGTTTGCATATTACATCTCTTGAGACGCCCGAAAAAATTATTAACTATATCACACAAAAATGATTTAACAAAAACCAATCATTCACTTCTTCTTCACAGCAGTCCTGAGATATTCGATGATTTATATCAGTTAGCCGTTGGCGAAGATTGATTCTTCGTATTCTGACTTTTTTTAAACTTAAATCTATCCGTGGAACAAACTAATCAAAATTTTATAACTCATGTCTAAAATATTGTAATCCTGGGACAGTGCTATAAATGTTTATCTGGGATTCATGGTCAAGAGAATATATTAAACAAAGTGGTGGTTCTTTTGATTTTGTTTGCATTCCATAATTTGAAAATATATCAAGTCATGCAGTAATGTTACCCAGAAGTGCAAAAGTTGTGAGATGACCTTATATGCACATATTATTATTATGGATATTAAATAAATCATGTAAACATTACTTTATTTGATTAAGTGATATATTTAATTGGTTCTGGCCATGCGAAAATAAAAATAAAATCAGTATGTAATGCTGGGTTAAAGGAACATGGGAGAGAATTCGTTAAAAAGGAGTCTCGTAAGCGTGTATTCATTTAGCAACTAACTTTTTTTTATAATGTTTACGAAATAGTAACTAATATTGGTGTACAACGTCATTTTCTGGTAATCGAGAGTACCCGAAAAAGACAGTTCTCGCCCATTTTGGAAATTTTTTCCTTCAACGGCAATCAAACCTAATTTTCTAATTTGGCTATTTTGTATGCTTGGCTTAACAAAATGTGCAGTCCAAATAGGCGAGGAAGTTATGTAGATCTAAATTCTCGGATAAATGACACGAAAATAAGAGGATCTGCTGGATTTACAACGTCATGTAAATGAATCCGGTAGGACCTAAAGGAGATCGCAGGCAAAATGTGTAGATGCGGTATTACTACGGTGATCTTTTTTTACTCAACAAAAACATAGATGTCATTTCTCAGAAGGTTTCTTCGAAACTTTTCTATTGACCGATATATTTATTAAGATTTAAGGATTTAAGTTCTAGACTTACCATATAATTTGACATCGATATCACAGTTCGCAGTTGGCAAACGTGTGAAGTGCAACGATATTTCGTCTGGTATATGATCCTGAAAGCAAAATTTCCGGTTAACAATTTATTTAAAGTTAATTAGAAATCATATATAAATGGGGTATTTTGGGCTAAGTATGTTCCTAATGTTTCCTGGATTACCTTTCGTAGAATGGAAATATCACATTATTCAAGTTAATAAATAACTACGGTAATGCTATTTAAGTACTCTCTCATTGCCTCTGTTGTTACTCTCTTTGGCAAACTCGCAACTGCAGATTCTGAAACTGGTGCTTGCCAAGCAACTCTCGGTTCCCCTGTAAATGGGTTCCAGGCTACATTTTTCAATTACATTTATCCAGATTATGCTATTGAATATAGTGATGAAGAATATGTTACCTATGGTTATAATGACGAAGATCATTTCATCACTACTTTGACTGGGGTAACAGATGTTAATTTTTATCACTTTTACAATCTTAACCAAAATGGGCCAACATGGGGAGAAATTAATGGTCTTAATATCACAATATCTAATTTTACTGTTGAATATAGCGGTTGGTTTACACCAATCGAAACTGGTGAATATGTCTTTACCATTGGTCAAACAGATGATGCAACCAGGATTGAAATCATGGAAGATAGTTCTTACTATTGTTGTAGCGCTGCTACAACTAATAGTACAGTTATTGAGAGCTACCAGATTTACGACAATACAACAATACATGAACAAAGTGTTTACTTACAATCAGAAGTTTCCTACCCAATAAAGATCGTTTATTTTAATAAGGATAAGGTTGCTGTTCAAACAGTCAATTTCACTGACCCTTCTGGTATTGTACATAATAGTTTTGAAGGCTATGTGCAATATTTTAATGATATTGTTTGTGATGAGACACCTATTCAAACATCAACCTCAGAATTACCTGAAAGTAGTGCAACTATATCCTCTGATATAAAGCTTTCTTCCAGTGTACTTTCAACCCATTCCGGCTTAGTTTCAAGTTCAACAATGACATCCACATCGTCTCCTTCATCTTCCTTATTTTCTTCTCCATCAATCTTTTCTTCCTCTTCAAGCTCTACAGTCTCATTACCAAGCCAAAGCTGTACAGATGAAACCTGTATTACTAGCAGTGTATCAGACTTGAAAAGTGAAGGTTTTACTAAAATCATCACAGCTTCTGCCCTAGTGACTACTGTTCAAGAGACAAAATCATGCCCTTTTGAAGCTTCTTCAGGGACTGTAATTTCTGAAATGAAAACTCAAAGTCAACCAATCGCGACGACGGTAACATCTATCAAAGCTACTACTTCAATTTTCACAAAGTATGAATCTTGTAGCAGTGCTGAAGCTAATTCTACTGACAGCTCATACTCTGGCACTAAAACCACTGTTCTTTCTTTAAGCTCATCTACCGGCGACAATTCAGATAGTAATGTATTGTTTTCCAACACTAGCACATCTTCTACCATCCAAGAAATACGTAACAGCTTTATGAGTCAAAGTACTTCTACCTTGCTGTACTCAAGTACCACTATGGCCAACAATATAACTACCGCTTCTGTAGTTCAGGCCACCACTAATGGCGCTTCAAGTTACACAATGAATTGTTTTTCGTTATTAACCGCTGGGTTCTTATTAGTACAATTTTTATAAATTTAGCTAAATATTGTTTAACTCACGTAATTTCAAATAAAGTCAAATTTCTATGTGTTTTCTTAAATTCGAAGAAATACATAGGGTCATTGTCCGATCAATATATAACGCATCTAAAAGAACACGTTTGTTAATTAACTGTTTATTGATGATTTAAAAATATCATATCAAAAATCTGTTATATTCAGATTTATTTTCGATAGCCAGTGGCTTTTTTTTAATTTCTACCGTTATTTACAGAAGATATGTTCTTAACAAACTGAGGGTCTAACGCTAGACATTAAATTAATTGTTCATGGTTCTCCTTTTTAAAGCGACTATATGTTTTAAAGATACAAGAGATATTAATAAATAAATGTATTAATTAGTTAAATATTTATTTGAGGGTATAAAGTCGTTAAGTAATAAGGGGAATATTAAATAGAATCTCATTTAATTGAGAGATGCAATCTACAATACACTATCCAATAGACATAGAATATTGTCAAAGAAATCTGCGCCATTGCATTGGGCAGTTGCAGAAGTAGAAGCAACAAAACTTGAAGTTGTCACTGTTGGACTAGCATTCGATGCAGATGTTGTTGTTGTAACAGAGGCGGTGTCATCGTTATTTAAGGTAAAGATGTTACCACCAGATGTATATACCTGGTTACCATTCCAAGTGTTTGAGTAACCTGGAGCCTTTACAGCACCTGGAACAGAGGATAAAATAGCTTCAATATCTTCTTCGCTATCTACATAAGAAGCTTGGGCCATTGAAATTTCATAGTTATCTAAATCGTAAACAACATAGGCGTGAGTTAAAAATAAATCACCTAGAATAGCTGGAAGATCATCTCTGACAACCATGCCTAAGAAACAGATGTTACTGCCACTGGAAGAGGTAATCAAGAAAGAACTTAATGGAGCCTCGATATGGAAACCACCAAAATCAAAAACTAGTTGTCTATCATCGTCATCACTTGGACAAGTCATACCATATAGACCCGAAGAGACATAGCTAGCACCGATAGCGTTAGCCACTAAAGAAACATAAGACTTTGGGAAATATGTTAAGGTTGTACCAGAATCTAATAAAACAGGAATGGAAGAGGTAGTGATAGTTTCTTTTACACTAGAAGAAGAAATACCTAAACCTTGTAATGTTATATCTAATGCAATTGGTTCAGAGAAACCTTCATAAATATTCACAATTGGGACAGTGTATAGAGTACCTGTATACTTTGAACTATCGATACCACCAAATAAAATAGAACCTTCCATAGCGGATGCGTCATCTAAGTACAATGAGTAAGCAATGCTATCGATAGCGCCACTTGATTTTAGAACAACAGGCAAATTTGGGTAAGTGTGCGGATCAGAGACAGTACCAGAAATGCCTGTAGTAGTTTCCAAGGCTTCAAAACCTATACCTAGAACACCAACATTGGAATCAGTATTATCGGCAACAGCAAAAGATACACCACTGATATCTACACCATCTAAAGATAGAACATCTTGGCCCCAAGTCCCACTTGCAAAAGATTGATCACCATAAGTAATACTGAATGAAGTAGTGTTATCATGATAGGTAGAAGATTCACCTTTGTTAAAAGTACCATATTTAGCACAGTCAATTGAACCTGAAGAAGATTTACTTACCGACTCATTAACAGGAGATGTAATTTTGCTGGTAGAAAGACAATATGGATTATTGTAACCAGTGACCCATAAGTCGGAGGAACCAGTATCTAACAAAACAGTGACATCCTGCGAAGGTGTACCGATGCTTAGATCAACGGAATAAAAGGTTTTTTGGTTAGTAATTGCGAATTCTTTACTAGACTCTCTCTTAACTAAAACTCTACCGTCAGATGTAACTACAGAAGAACTATCATTATGAGTTTTCTTAAATGGCAACTTCAAAACCTTACCACGGTTTAAATCCCTTTTACTTGGGACAACTACTGCAGAAACAGTAGATAATAGGTAAACATATGTTAATAGCTTCATTGTTATAAAATATGGATGACACTATTAGATATACTTTTATTGTAATTTTTTTGTTTTTTTGTTTGTATTTTAAAGCGAATATTAAAATAGTTTAAACTCACGTTGCTATCTACAATATGAAACCAAGGAGTCTAAATGAAAATAAAATTCGTAGTTCAGTTCAACTTTTAGTTGTTCATTCCAGTCTCTTTTATACCATTTCAAGAATAGAATTACAACCAAAAAAAAACGAAAATTGTATCTGCGGAACTTCAATTTTATAAATACAGTGCTATCCAGAATAGAAACATTACTAAAATCTGCAGTGTTCATCAAGACCTTAGCTTGTGAATCTAACTTTTTCTATTGTAGTTTTCCATTATTAGTTCACATATAGTACTGTCTGCAGGGATTGTTCTCTAACGAAGGTGTGCCAAAGATGGGCGTTACATGCGGGTCCTTCATTTCTTTCTCTAGACAAACCGTGTAAATAAAAATTAATAATCTGTTTGGCATTCTATCGGTAAATATTTATATATGGGTTTCTGCTTCGGCAGGGGGGGTATTCATTTACAGTTTTTCTTTTCCTCTCCACAAAGAAAGTCGCGTACAAATAAACCAATATAGTTAACCAGATCTCAGATCTCAAAATTTCCTCACGTCAATTTAATTCACCTGCAGAAAAAGGGCGCGCCTAAAAAAATAGAATTTTCAGAAATTGAGGACATCGAAAAGTTGACTGTTCTTTCCTTCTTTGACTTAATTCCTCCTTGTTTTTGCATTTGATATTGTTCTCCATTTGCATACAGGCCTTGTTGTCAGAAATGAACAGTTCATGGACAGTAGCTTTCTTGAAGTATGAAGTTTGCGCAGAGAGAATCTGAAGAATAAATTGATTTTCTAACACCCTGAAGTAATATTTTACCGTTAGGGGTAAATTTTATCATAAATTTTAGTTTACAGGTAAAGATGAGGTTATCTGTAGCGGTTTTAACATAGCTTGAGGGCTCTTATCTAGTGATGAGTTTATTTTTTCTCTGCCACTTAGTTTCCTCTTAGGGGGGAATTCTATAATGAACGCAGAACAACATATATTGTAAGAAATAATGTTCCCCACAGAATATTCATTAAGTCGATTTTCAGTTATGTTGGTAATTATTTCCTCTAAGTTTGGTCATATTATGTGACTATTACCTCTTCAGAAGGTTGTGCACGGTGTATGGGTCTTTCTTTAAATGATTTATATGGCTGTCTAGAATTTTAGGTTAATGATTTGTAAGATAATAAATTTTATCGGGAGTTCATGAAACTGAATAAGTAATCTTCTCGTCAATTACAAAATTGGGTGAGATGAACTAATGCATATTTTCTCTAACATTGCGGTAAACTTCAAGGAAATGTATTTAGTTTGGGGGTTGAAAGAATTCAATCTTAATAAAAATACACTGAATTAGGTTAAATCTAGGAGCGAAATATGTTTCTTTCTTTGGTGAGAAGGGCTCCAGAATTACTGATGGAGTCTAAAGCTGACCAAGTAGAAATTTTTTTCTTTAAGCTATAAACATTATTGATCCGACTATCGTAAAAACTTATGAAACATTTTTCTTCTTGCTTCAGCAATTAATAGTATAGGCACTATTATTTATTCTCTTCTTAAGGTACCCTTAATTTTTTTTATCGAGGTAAATATATTTGGGGTTAGATGGACTTTAGAAAGGAATAAAAAGAAAGCTGTAACAACTAGATACAGCTATATTGATACTAATGACGTTTTATCGGTTCTTTGTAGATGTATGTTACCTAGAATTGTGACGTTTCACCGTCCTGCCGTAAATTCTAATCTTGACTTACGTCCCTTTTTTGTTGTATTTTTTTTTCTTTTGCAAAGAAGAGTGTTATCTCGACCCCAATTTGTTTTACGAATTAAAGAGCACAAGTTATCTGTATAAACGGTCCCTAATTTTAAAGGTATGGTAAATATTACGATAAGAGATACCTTAATATGCGCGAACAATAACGCCAGGTCCAGAACAAAGAGCATTGATGGGAATGATATTTCTCAAGAAGACCAAAATAATATTGCTGATCTAATTACATCTGAATTTTTGATTTATCATATTACTTGCAGAATAGCGTTAAAAAGAAATATTTTAGCAATAACTGGAGTTCCGTTTCTATCAATTGAACGGATAACTCTAAGAGTTTTACTTTTGTATTCATCATATAGCATAAATTTCTCTCAGAACAAAGATAACATCAGATATCAGGTATCTATCCTACTTAACAAAGATGATATTTGAACTAGTTGTGTTATTTGACAAGTTTAAACATTTCTGAAAATGGGCTAATAGGCATATGAGTTGAAACCTACCAGCGGTTATTCTTCTTTTGATCATATCATTTACAGGATATTTAAATTTATAAATCTTTATAACTATTCATACACGGAATTTTCAGCATACGTTAAAATTATACGTATATCAATGGTTGTAGGGTTTACACATCTAGTATGATTAACTCCTAACGATTCGGCTAACATATGTAGATGATCTTGTTGTGTCAAATTCAACTTGCAAAGATTAAAGAATTAAAACCAATCCAATGTAACCCATAATATTCATACTCTTGATGAAATCCGTATTGTGTTCAAAGACTTATACTTTGATACTTAACTAAGAATCTAGGTTTGGCTTCATTTAACCTAGAACCTTTTCTCACTTGATACGAAAAGTGTAAGACTAATCGCTTTTCTTTGTTCATCTTCAACCAAAAATTAATGACTTTCTCGGTCTCGGTCTAACTTGTTTTGTGATTGGATAAAAAGAGAAAAGAGATCATTGAAAGACTCTGTCATCAAATCCTATTATTAAATTATATATATTCCTATCATCGTACTTGGTATTGATTATTATTTCCTTCAGAGTTATCTTGTCAAGAGAACTGAACGGAGTTTTTTTTCACTGGAATAAATTCATTAATAAATTTTGAAACACGATGGCTCATAGGGCTTTTGTACAGGTCATCATTACAGGTGCACAAGTTTTTGGAAGGGCATTTGGTGAGGCATATAGGCAAGCAGCTTCTCAATCAGTGAAGCAGGGTGCTACAGAGGCCAGTAGAGGTCGTGGGCGTTCAGCTAAAGAAGAATATGGTGGTATTACGCTTGATGAGAGTTGTAAGATTCTAAATATTGAGCCATCTAATGCTAAAGATTATTTGAACTTAGATAAAGTAAACAAAAGATTTGATTATTTGTTTAATATTAATGATAAGGATAAAGGTGGAAGTTTTTATTTACAAAGTAAGATATATAGGGCTGCGGAGAGGTTAAAATGGGAGATTAAAGAAAAAGAAAAAGAAGCTAATATAGAAAAGGATGACATTTCGCCATCATCTGAAGGATCTAAAGAAAATACAAAGCCTCAATAATAATTTTAAATATGATTGAAACGATTTATTTCAATCATATTTAATGAATGGTGAAGATACCACTCATCTTCCCATTAAATCAGCATTCCCAATCTAAGGAAAAAACAATTCAAATTCGACATTAGTATATGTAATATAACATGTAAGTAAAATTAACACCAATATATATTAACATTTAATTTAACGTTAAAACTGAAACAAGAATATTCATATATCTATAAACATTTATCGACAATTACTGAAATGACAAAACATTTAACAAGAGAAAAATAAAAAAATGAAATAAAATGTATTATCTTGAGGAAGCGGTACAGTGGAATACAACAGGCTATGGTATTACACCATTTCCAAAAATGTAAACATACAACTAATCCCACATCGATGTCCATCCCCGAAGAGATGTCTCGAGAGGAGGGACCTTCCTCAACACATAAACTTTGCTCTAAGAAACCGGAAACGAAGTGAACCTTGTGCCTAGCCTGTTTGGGGCTAGTCAAGGTACACTCAGCTATGGGTTAAAAAATGATCAAATTAGACCTCAATCCAGTATTAACTAGTGTCATATAGAAAGACTCGCAAGAGTCCCCTGCACGACATTGGGAGATTGAGAGAGAAAAATGATATAAGGTTTCTATAATGTAATTGTAATTAATATTATCTTGAGATAGTATTAACCACTACTGATGATTGGTTTTTTTTGTAAAGTGAAATAAAAAAAAAATTAAATTAAAACTAAAAGAAATAAAGAACTAACATGTTTTACTTATACCATTCAAACCACTGCTTTATATACTTTTTCATCTTTGGCAAAATGAAAGTTTTTCGCTGTTTTGAAAAGAACGAAAAAAAAATTTTGCGATGCCCTAAGTTACCCGCATAGTCATTTCTAACGTAACTGTGTAAACTGATTAGGTCATCGAAAAGTAATCAAGAGGGTCGTTTAATTAAGAGTTATACAATATTGAATATAGAACAATTGTGATTATATTGATTCTTATGGATTTAGATAAAGGTTTACAAAATATTGGAATATGAGTACATTGAGATAAGGCATAGAGTGTGGTGGTGGTAAAAAATAAAATAAAGTAGGGGTAACAAATAAGTGGAAAAGTGAGATCGCCACTGTTTCCAGCATGATTTACTATTGCTTGTCATTACCATTACAATGAAGAGTAATGTAAAGGATACATGTGCGTGTATGTGTTATTTTGGATAGCAAGAAACGTATAGTATAAAAAGGAGAGTTTATCTTTGCTAGGCAAAAAAAATTAATAGATAATTTGAGAAGCTTGAGTTATCAAAACCACTTTCTATTGTTGTTATTGTTATTATTGTTCTTGTTGTTGTTTGGTAAAAATTGGCAAAAACTGGCCCATGATCAGCAAAGGAATGTTGAAGTTGTCCCTGACAACTGTCCAACATGAAGCACAGTTCAATTTGGCGTTGTTCTTTAAAACTAAAGTACAACGACCAAAATTAGTTCTGTTTAAAAGTGTCTCTGGAGATTCAATATTTGAATCTCCAAATGCCAGCACTTTTTCAAATTTATTAAAATAATCTAAGATACTTTCGTTATCCCAGAATTCAAAGATGAACCTATTGGTTGAAAATATTTCAGGTTTAGTGAAACCAGTTAATGATAAGAATTCATTACTAGTAAAACATAATTCACCGGTACGTCTCCAAACAGCCATTGGTGTACAATTGACTAAAGTTGCTGTATCTTCCATTTGAAATAAAAGTCGTTGTAGCATAATCTCTTGAAAGACTAAATCTTCCGGAATCATAGCTGAACTTAGACTCATGAATCTTGGAGCGAAATTGTCTAGAATGGATTTGATTAAAGTTGGTAATAATCTTTGATCAGCTTCAATGGAAAATTTTTCTTGAAGGATATTTTTCATTTGGGCGTAAGCAAGTTGATAATTATGAGGTTTAATTAAATCCTGATTGGAATATAGGTCCTTCACGGAAGGGAACCCTTTACGAAATTGAAGTGGGGATATATTGGATTCGCTATTATTGTTATTATTGTTATTACTATTCACTAATCCAGTGATAATAGTTGGTTCACATAATGTATCGAATTGTTCCTTTGGATTTTCTTCCTTAAGAAAATCTTTTTCCTCAAGTGGTGAAAAATCGTTCAACGATGAATCACTTAGCATATCTAATGCTGTGAATGGTTTAGAAAAAACTGTGTCGTTGCTAGGAATGCTTGCATTCCTATCAGAAGTTGAGTTAGAATTTGAATTAGAATTAGAATGAGAATTTGAATTAGAATTAGAATGAGAATTTGAGTTTGAGTTTGAAATTGTATTCATTACATCATAATCTGTAAATGTTCTACCTAATAATGCATCATCAATATTATTAAATTTCCCCTCTTTCAATTGAACTGGAGCTATATCTGAATCTTGTAGACATTGTGGATCATCAATGAATTCCTTTAATTTCAAATATTCTTCATTAGCCCAAATACTATCAAAGTCTTGATTTGGACTGAAAATTGTCTCCTGACCAGAGAGGTCAGTATCAAAACAAGCCTCTTTCTTAATAACGGTCATAACATCATCAATAATGTCACTATTAGGCATATCATAATCTGTTGGGGAACTTTTCACTTCTTGAGGACTATTTGCTTTTCTTTTCTTTCTGATATTATCTCTACATGAGGATGTGATATTTCTTTTAACACAATTCTTGCAAGGTCTACTGACGTCACATTGAATATGTTTTTCATGGCAAAAGACGCAGGCCTTTTGAATAGACCTTCTATGTTTCTTAAGTTCAGGTGGTAAACGTTTAGTCATAACTAATAACCAATCAATGGTTCTTATAAATATTTTCTTCTTTTTATGAACAAAAAAAAAAAATAAAAATATTTAGTTGTAAAATACCAGATTTTAAAAATAAAAAATAAAGATTTTGGAGAGAACTTGCTCTTATACTACGTTTCTAATTCAATAAAGAACTGAAGATGTAATACTTAAATAGAATAAAATAAAATAAAATAAAAAAACAGAATAATAAAAAGGATCAACCTCTTGTTTTTCTGATAATTTGATTGTATATTACTAGATATACAAAATTTTCGAAAACTAGTCTACTAATAAAATTGTGTTTGTGTGTGTGCAATCTTAAACAAATTAAAAGAGAAAATAGAATAAAAAATTATAAAATAAGAAATAGAAGAAAAAGATTAAAAAGAAAACTTAACCAATCTCTTAAATAAGAAAACAAAAAAATATGTAAAGTTGCTGCTGCAAGTCAAAGTCGAAACTTTTGAATCTTTGTGTTTCCATTATTTAGGTAACTTGGTTTTCTCGACGTCAAGTAAGTTAGTATATTATGTATTTATTTATTCTTTATTTTATCTGGTTCCATAAATCAGTTCCCTGAAAGCTTATGGCTAATAGGACCCTCTATCTACATATAATGTCATTAAACCAACTGTAGCTAGATAAGAATGAAGAAACCACTACCTTAGAACAACCTTTTCTTGTTTGTTTCATATGGAGAATAGAATAAGCTCAGTCTCAGTTGGGCCAATTAGATAACGCAAATGACTTAAGCTGCTGCTGCTGCTGCTACTGGAGTGCCCGATACCCAGAACATTCCGCGCAGCACAAAAAATTAATAATAACAATAACAACATGATTTACAGCGAAAACTCCGGAGAGCAAAGCCGTGGGGTATAATGTGGGTTGGAAGCCCTAGCGTCAGGGTTGGGTTTTCTGGGTCACGTGAAGTTTCGCTCGAGGGTACAGGCTTTGTTTGTCTGGCATGCAAGGTGATGGATGGGTCAAACTAAGGCCAAACCAAGTCCCCGGTAAGAGTGGTTGGAATGGGATGGAAATAAGAGATGAGGTGGGGTCGTTGATTAGTTAAGTTTGTATCCATTTAGATGATATGTTTCACAAAATTACAGAACACAAGGATTTCACATTATGGGTTTCGCCGTTAAAGTGTTGTCCCAGTTTGTTAGGCGACATAGTACCCTTGAAAAGATACGTAATATTGGGATTATAGCTCATATCGATGCTGGAAAGACTACTACCACTGAGCGTATGCTATATTATGCAGGTAAGACTGATCGGATAGGTAATGTTGACCATGGGGATACAATCACAGATTTTCTTCCCCAGGAAAGATCAAGAGGCATTACCATTCAAAGTGCAGCTATATCGTTTGATTGGAGAAATAGAGGGGAAATTAATTTAATAGATACGCCTGGACATGCAGATTTTAGTTTTGAAGTCATTAGGGCTTTGAAAGTGTTAGACGGTTGTGTTACTATTTTTGATGCAGTAGCAGGTGTAGAAGCCCAAACTGAAAAAGTTTGGAAAATGTCTAAACAGATACCGAAAATATGTTTTATTAATAAGATGGATAGAGAAGGTGCAGGTTTTAGTAGAACCGTTAAAGAAATAATTATGAAGCTGAGTACCAGGATAGCTTTGGTAAATATTCCATATTTCTCATTGAATCCTCAAACTAGAGAACAAAAATTTGAAGGTGTGATAGATATAATCAATAAAAAATTAATAAAATGGGATATTAATGATCCAGATAGTGTCAACGTTGTGGAACTGGATCCAATTAAGGATAAATATTTGTTCGATCAATTATCTAAGGCAAGGGAATCTCTCATTGAGACTTTAAGTGAATTTGATGATACTTTAGTAGAAACTTTCCTTGAGGAAGCAAATGGTGATTATTTGAAATTATCATCTTCAGTGATAAATAGAACGTTAAGAAACTTAACTCTTGATAATACCATTACGCCAATACTATGTGGGGCTTCTTTCAAAAATGTCGGTGTGCAACCATTATTGGATGCCGTGGTAGATTATTTACCATCGCCGATCGAAACAAAGCTTCCAGATATCAATAAAAAAAATTTTGTTATGAAATTTGATCATTCCAAGGGGTTAATAATAAACAATAATAATTCTATGTGTGTTGCATTAGCGTTCAAAGTTATTACTGATCCAATAAGAGGTTTAATGGTTTTCGTAAGGGTTTATTCGGGGACCCTCAAAAATGGATTTACTGTATATAATACAACTACTAAAAAACCATTCAAGATAGGTAAATTGGTTAGGATGAATGCCGATGTCCCAGAAGAGATTAACCATTTAAATACTGGTGAGATCGGTGTCTTAACAGGTAGTTCTATTGATGGTAATGTATCCACAGGGGACACTATAATATCTCATTCGATGAAAAAAGATGGATTAAAGTCGTTCAAAAAAAACGAAGAATTGACTTTAAAGATTAACCCAATAAGTGTACCTGAACCTGTCTTCACAGTGACCGTGGAACCAAAATCCCTTGGTAATAAGGATTCTATGGAGAAATCATTAAAGAGACTTGTCATTGAGGATCCAAGTCTTAGAGTTACCGTAGATGAAGAGACAGGACAAACTTTACTTAGTGGTATGGGTGAATTGCATTTAGAAATTGCCGGAGATAAGCTTGTGAATACACTTGGTGCCAAAGTGGAATTGGGTAAAGTCACGGTATCATATAAGGAAACAATAAATGAAAACACTTCGGTGGAGAGTTACTCTGATGACAAGGGATATAACTTTTCAATATCTTTAGAACCTTTGGATGGTTCGGTTAAAGATATTTCCAAGCAGTCCAATAAAGAGATGTGGTATTCATTGGGTAGTGATAATAATTATTTAATAATGGAGAAAAATGATAAATATGATCCAGAAAATGAGTGGCTTTTACAATTAACATATGATTCAATCGTCAATTCGATAGTATCTAGTTCAATTGTTGCGTTTCAAAAAGGTGGGAAAATATCTAATTTTCCTTTACATTCCTGTCTTGTACGTGTTCATAGTAATTGGCAAGTACCTATAGATGTTGAAAAACCAAGTGAGATCCTTGAAATAACAAGAAATGTGATAATCAAAAGCTTAAACAAACTAGTTACTAATCAATATTCAGTGTTACAACCAATTATGAGTTTGAATATAGACGTTGATCCAAACGATATGGGTGTAGTTATCCGTGATTTGACAAGTGATCATGATGCCATCATCCTATCTATTGACGATCGTGATAGCGTCGAAAAAGCTGAGGACAATTTATTGTTTAATAAAATTGCTGAAATGCAATACTTACCTGATGACGTAACTTTGAATTTGATGAAAACTTCCACCGGTAATGAAAGTTCAAAGCACATCAAAGCTGAAGTGCCATTAAGAAAGATGATTGCATATAATAAGAAACTGAGAAGTCTTACTCAAGGAAGGGCGGATTTCCAGATGTATTTTGAGAAAATGGAAAGAGTAACCTCAGATCATTTAAAGGAGATTATTGACGATCTATGATAATATTAATTGAATGTATATATACCAAATAAATCGGAATAGGTAACCTTTTAGATATTATTTATTTTTGTTTACGCTTTTTGAATATAGTTTTTTAATAATTTTTTATTCTTTGTCAGTTTCAAAGTAGTGTTGTTCGCCCTAAATATGAACATCGCTGTAAACAAATTTTAATATGGGGGAAATCCAAAGTATTGAAAGGTTAATTACGTATTCAAACTACTCCAATTACCTACTGATAAGCGTTTGCATTACTGCTTATGTTATCTTGTAGAGCGTAATCCATTTTATCGATCTTATATTTTAATAAAAGTTGTGTAATATTTTACACTTTATTCTTCGTTGTTCTCTTTCAAACCCGAAATTTAATGTACACAAGATTTAGGACATAGATATTTTTTACTTCGATAATCAATGCTCTTTGTATATGTTTGGTATTACGTTGTTTGCTTGTTCATACAAGAATCCTTCCATCTCAGACCAAGTCGGATAAGCCTATTTTATTATCTTTGATTGCTGACTTTCGTCGCATCATTTATTATTTCTTTGCTCTTAATAAGCTCATGCTATTGCTCTATGGAGAATTAGGATTCATCACCTACAATAAGTTTCTTTTGACAATGTAGAAAGTTAAGAGCTCAAATTACAGCCCCCCATTCCTGTAACTAGGAGTCTTGCTTGGTATAGTGGAACTCCTAAAAAATATGTCAGCTAGTACTGCAAAAATTTATCTTGTAGATATCTCCAGCACTTAATATTTTTTCGACGTTTTAGATAGTGATATACAATTTAATATTTATGGTAAGCATGCAAATCTGAAATATATTAAGCCAATACTTTTGGGCAAAAAAACTTTCCATTTCAATAGTCTATACAGTTTACAGATGTTTTGAATTCATTTAATTCCTTATTTACATAAGAATCCCTTCTTCTCAGATTAAGTGGTATAAGTAAACCTAATTATCGTTACGAATTAATGCTCTCCCATATGAAATACTATCCCTTTAAATTTTAATAAACTCATTCTACTGCTCTGAGAAAATCCAGCATTCAACAACTTAAAATAGAATTAAACATTAAAGCATTTCATTTTGGTAAACAGTTATACTTGCTGTTTCGTATATATACCTATATATAATAATCATTAAGATAATAATATTTTTTTGCACAGGATATATATAAGTTATTAACTAAAAAGATGTAATGTTCATTCCTTCTCAGACGTTTGTTGTTGTGGTTCATCTTGATGTACCACAATAGAAGGTAACTCACCGAGAAATAGGGCACAAATTATAAATATAAGGCCTAGCCAACAAGCCCGAGTACTCAACTTTCCAGATGCAATTGCAAAAATCCAAATAAAACCTTGAATTGCTAAAATTTTTCTATTGGCAAGTAGTTTTAGCAGGATCATAGAAACACCGAGCATAATAAGGAACTCTAAAAGTTTTTTTCCATCTTCATAAGATTGGGTTTGTCCACTTTCCATCTCCCTATATCGTTATACCGTCGTCACTAACTCTTCCAAAATTGTTGAATCTTTGTGTGACTTTTCAGAGAAAGAGTAGACTACTATATGGCTTTTCGAATAGGTCGAGGAATGAGTCCACCATGCTCACCTGCTTATATATATGTACATAATAACTCGCTTTTTGTTGCATCTTGGAAAAGAAAGCTGCCGAGCACACAGCAACCCGCGCAGGAACAACATAAACTCAAAAATAGTAGCATATCTCAAACAAAAAAATATAAAGAATGCTGCCAATATAAGAAATTTAAATATAATAGCAACCACAACTGA